TAGTACTGGTCCAAATTTAAATATGAGAAACTGTTGAATCTTTGTTATTATTGTGGTCATATAGGCCACATTGACAAAAACTGTAAAAAGAGACTCTCTGACATTGATAGCAATGAGTTCAAAGAAGGCCAATATGGGGACTGGATTAAGGCAGCTGAAGGAGGTAATTGGACATATAACCTTAACCAAAGCACCCAAACTGAATCAACTGAGAAACAAGAGGGCATGAACACAAAGATAGGAAATTCCTCTAAAGAAAGGGCAGGGAAAGTGGGATCTTCAAGTAAAACGGATAGCCAGCAGGTGGACACTCCTCAGTCCAAAGAAATACAGATGCAACACAATAATATTGAAGAATTGATTGGGCCTTACACAGTGGACGTGCCTTTACAGTTCCAGGAGGCTAGTCCCTTACCTAAATCATCATATCAGCAACAAGCTTTAATGGTAGTTAGTAACCCAGATCATTTGGCAATGGTCACTACTGAGGCCAATACTACATTGCCAGAGCAACCAGAGACTGAGGGGACCAAGCCAAACTTGGAAAAGAAAGACAGTTAAAGCTGGCAGACTTCAGAGGAAGCAGAGTCCTAAAGCTAGTAGCAAAGAGCCTCAATAGAAGAAAAGACATGCTACTAATGAGGAATTTGATGATACTCAACGGTATTTGACAAAGGAGAATAGGAGAAGTAGAAAGAAAGCCAAAAATCAAATGGTGCAGGCAGCCAGCCATAAATGGCTCCCACATCAACAATGAAAGCTATGGTGTGGAATGGTAGAAGATTGGGTAGGCCCATTACAGTTCCCCAATTGCGAGAGGCATGTAAGTCTCACCACCCAAACTTGGTGTTCCTATCTGAAGTTAAAAAACATATACCTCTGTATCTAAAGTCTGTAGTAGATTACTATTTGAAGATAGATGGCATTATGAAGAGCCTCAGGGGACAAAAGGGGGGTTGTTAGTTTGTTGGGATAAAGAGGTGAAGATTTTACAAATGATCAAGGAGGATTTTTGCATTCAGATTCAATATCAGTTGGGGGGTTCTAGAAATCAGGAGTGGATAGTGTTTGTATATATGAGCACAGTGAAGCAGGAGAGGGAGGCCCAATGGGAAATTCTGATGAAAGAGAAAATTAATTGGGGAGATAACTGGATTATTCTGGGTGATTGGAATGATCTGAGCAACTCAGAAGAGAAGAAATGAGGTAGATTCAGAAATTACATGAGTTTTCAGGGGTTCAACAACTTCATTGCCTATATGGGAATGTGTCTCTTGAGGATGGAAGGTCACAGATACACTTGGGGAAACAAACCGGGCAAAAGAGGGTTTTGTAGAAGAAGTCATTGATAAAGGCTTTGCATCTCTTCAGTGGATCTCCAAACACCCACAGGAAAAATTAACTAATGTCTTCATGAGTGCCTCTTACCATGGCATGCTGCTGTTGGAGGTGGGGAGTAACAGCCACAAAAGCCATAAAAGATTTGTTTTTGTTAGAAGATGGCTCCAAAAAGAGGGAGTGGAGGAAGTGGTGAGCAAGGCTTGGGAAGGAGGAATGGGGAACTCCAATGTTCAGACTCAAAGAGAAAATCAAGAAGACTAGAGTGGCTCTCTTCAAATGGGCCAGACTGACAAAGACAAAGGGCAAGCTCAACATAGAACAACTAACTCTGAAATTGGAGGAAATGAGAAAGCTTGGAGGAGAGAGGAACTGGTAAGAATGGAATAAAATCTAACAGGAATTGAATTCAGAAAATTGCTCTGAGGAACAGTATTGACAACAAAAATCTGGGGTGTTATGGCTAAAGGAATGGGACATCAATACAAAGTTCTTCCATGTTATGACTGTGCAGAGAAGAAAACAGAATGCCATAACTCGGCTTGTGGAAGTGGACAGAATCTTTCAAACTCAAAGTGAAGTGGAAGAGCAAGTGGTGAACTTCTATTCCAACCTATTTACCTCTGAGGGCTCTTCTCAAGAATCTGAAGCACTGCACCACATTAACCAAGTTATCACTACATCAATGAACAACAAACTAACAGCTTCAGTGGGTGAGTTGGAAGTCCAGAAAGCCCTTTTCCAAATGAACCCGGCCAAGGCTCCAGGTGAGGATGGAATGACAGCACTATTCTTCCAACACTTCTGGCCAGTGCTAAAAGAGGACTTATGCAATGCAGTCACCAGCTTTTTTCACTCTGAAAGATTACTGAAGTACTGGAATCACACTGTAGTTGCCTTAATTCCTAAGTGTCTTAATCCCACTACTATGTCTCAGTTTAGACCTATAAGTCTTTGTGGGGTAGTTTATAAAATTGTGGCTAAAGTCTTGGTAACTAGATTGAGAACATGTTTAGATGTTTGTATAAGCCACTCCCAGGCTGCATTTATTCCAAGCAGGCAATTAGTTGACAATGTGTTCATAGCTCAAGAGTGCTTTAATTTTTAAATAGGCATAGGTCTGGGAGGAACTGTTTCATGGCTTTGAAGTTAGATATGCTTAAAGCCTATGATAGAGTGGAGTGGGGGAGTGTTTGTAAGACTATGATCAAAATGGAATTTGAGGAGGTTTTTGTGAAATGGGTTATGGCTTGTGTTACAACTCCCACCTTCTCCTTCAGTGTAAATGGGCAGTCAGTGGGGTATGTTAAACCTTCAAGGGGGTTAAGGCAAGGAGACCCCATGTCTCCTTACCTTTTTCTTATAATATCTGAAGTTTTCTCTTCTCTGATCAAGGGTGAAGCTGAGATATTTTCAAAGGACTGAGAATTGCAAGAGATGGCCCTACTCTTACCCACCTATTATTTGTTGATGACTCATTGGTGTTCTGCAAAGCTGAAGCTGACCAAGTGAGAAAAATGCTAAAAATTCTGTCCATTTACCAAATATTCTCAGGACAAAAAGTCAACCTTGCCAAATCTACTGCTTTTTTCAGTAGAAATACTACTCAGCAGGTAAAAGACAGAATTTGCTCTCTAATAAAATTCAAGCCCATAACTCAACCAGGTACTTAGGGCTGCCAGTGGGGATAGAGAAATCAAAGAAGGGGACATTTGAGTATGTGACTCAAGCAGTGAAAACAGACTTTCTAATTGGAAGTCTAGACATCTTTCTACTGCAGGTAAAGAGGTTCTTGTCAGAGCAGTCATAAATGCCCTTCCAGTGTCTTCAATGGCCTGTTTTAAACTTCATGTGGGCATATGTGAGGAACTTAGCAGAACAACAGCAAAATTCTGGTGGAATAAAGGCAAAGAGAATGAAAGAGGACTGCACTGGAAAAATTGGAACGGCATGACCATACCTAAAGACAATGGAGGGATGGGGTTCCATGATTTCAAACTATTCAATGAAGCTATGCTGCTCAAGCAATTGTGGAGAATAATAACAAAACCAGATCTTTTGGTCAGCAAGGTGTTGAAGACCAGGTATTTTCCCTCATCCTCTATATTTGATGTGAAGAGAAGTCAGTCAGGGTCCTGGGTATGGAACAGCTGGTTGATTTGATCCCTTTACTTGCTGGGGGAGTAGTTAAGGAAATTCATGATGGCAAGACCACAAAAATCATTCATCACGGTTGGGTGCCTAATATGTGTTTCTCTAGGCCTACTCTCAGCCTAATCTCAAATGTTGATGTTATCTGGGTCAAGGATCTTTTTGATGCCTCTGGTTATAATTGGGATGTGGACCTGCTGAGGAATTTGTTTTTTAGAGAGAGAGAGAGAGTGGTGCTATCCAACAAATCAACACTTTAGATCCTACTAAACAATATAGCTGGAGATGGTCTTTTGATGCAAAGGTACAGTTCTCTGTGGCCAATGCTTACTCTCAGCTAATGAAAAAGAAGTTGTAGAAACTTGATACAACAGAATGTAGTAAAGATGCAGAACTGGGGATTACAGTAAGGGGCAGAACTTGGAGGCTTAAGGTTAAAGGGAAGTTAAAACACTTCTTATGAAAATGTTACAATACCTTACCAGTGGGGCAGAACATAAAACAGAGGGGAATGGAGGTGGACTGCATTTGTAGAATGTGTGGAGAGGAAGCTGAGACAGTGGAACACCTGCTGATTAACTGCAGAAGAGCTGAGAAAGTCTGGAAAGTAGCTCAGGTGTCATGGACTGAGGAAACTGATTGCAGGAAGTCATTTCGAGTGTGGTGGAATCGGATATGTTCAATAGACAAAACTGAGATTGCCAAAGACAGAATACAACTTTCTACGTACATTTTTTGTGGCTTTGACGATCTCGAAATTTATGGGTTTTTGAGAAAGTTTGGATGCCCGAGGAGGTGATCGTGAAGGGAGCTTGGAGAGAATGGCAAGAATTTGTTGCAGTGTGAGGGTGATGTCTTTTGTAGCAGGTTCTATCATCTAGTGTTTTCTGTTATTTTCGATTTTGTTGTCCTTGTCTTTGTTTTCGGTTTGTTAGATTGGTAGTTGCTCTTGGCTCTTGTTTTACGGTAAGGTTATGGTGGTTGTATCCTCGCCTTATTCCCAACTTTTTATATTACATAGGATAAGCATCTTTTCTTCTAAACGAAAATTAACAACTTGCAAGCAGTAGTCGCTAGTATAGTCTCTAGGTCACTCTTGTGAGTGTGTCTCCCATGGTTATCTTTGTATTAAGGTTGAACATTTGCGTTTTTCTTGCCTCTTTTTGTGGCAGTGATTAATATATACCTATCGTTTGGAAAAAAAAAAAAAAAAAAAGCTTCATCATTTGCGTAATCCAAAGAAAAAAATTCCTACAAAGGCAATTATATCCTTAGCCCTCATTCAAACCCGTCTTGATTCAATAAAACAAAAGCTGGTTTTAGCTCAAGGCAAAAGATGCAGAAAGGCACAGACCATCAATCATCTGTAGGTGTACGAAAAAAGTCCGCAATTCAAGGCATCAAAGATGAGCAGTTATGTATGATAAATACTCCCCATGAAACTACATAGCCTCCCATTGCATCAACGTAACAGGGTATGTTCATAACTAATGTGAGCAATGTTGTGTAATTCATTCATGTCCATCTCTCGCACGAGCACGATGGTTCCGACTGTCACGACCCGACCTACTGCTACTATCTCTGCCATATTTGTCACCTCCGTGATATGACTCAGACTCGTACTTTCTTGACCTCTTATCATTTCTATAATCACGTTCTTCCATGGAGTCCTTCCGTTCGGCGTAGTTTGTGTGCGACCTTTTACTATCGCGGTGCCGATCAGTTTCAGTTGCCTTTGGACGGAAATGCTTGTCACTGATTGTTCGGGCTTCGGGAGGAGCGGATCCTGAGGTGTGATGAGAATGCCCGGTTCTTCCTTCAAACTTGTCCTGTACCCATCTTGAATGTCTATCTTCCTCGGCACCCCATCCAGTATCAGCTGCTCTCTGAATTGAGAAAAAAGGGAATCAATGACTAATGGCGGAAGGAGAAAACTCAGCTAGCAAACTAAAACGGAAACACACACACACACTTATATCAATATACAAAAAGCCATAAAACTTTAAAAAGTGTCATAATTCATTTCCTAAATATGTTCATATATTCATTACTCTCACAAGGAAGAAAAGTAAAATTGTACACATTAAAGAAAAACTGAAAACTATGTATACAGGTCAAAGGTGAAAACCTCATACTTTCTTTTCTTGTTTGACAGATTCTAGTGTGCACATTCTAAGCCAAAATTAGGGGAAATTACACCTTTTGGATCTTATTAAAGGAAGGTTTTCTTCTTTAATGGATGGGTTGAGAATTCAGATGCTTTTTTTTAAGGAAAAAAAATCTTGTTTCCTACATTAAATCATGGGCATCAGAGCTACCGAAACCCACATGAGTAACACCCATCGAAACCTCTCTGCCCATGGCAAACATGTGACGTCTCAGTAACTCAATAGTTGTTCAAATAAATTATATCGGATATATAATTATTCCCAACTTTCACCACACTTTGCTAGTAAGCACCACATCAATCGTATTTTACCGTAAAATTCAACAAACTTCTTTGTCAGTCGAAAAATCAACGACTTTCACAATATCCTATGAAAAACTCAACGACTTTCACTAGGTCCTAGACTCCTACGAAACTTTTTACCTCCTCCGCGCAAATAATGCAAATGATACCATGTTAGCTCCACTACCATATACACCCCAACAGTTGTCTCCAAGTTTCTCTTTTCAACCAATTCAATATTCAATTTAACCTTCAGCTACTAAAAAATTAGTTGAACACATCAGCTTTAAATGTAATTAAGATCAATAAAAAAAAAATAAAATATTTAAGGAAAGATATCAGAAGGAAATTATTGGCTACTTCAAAAGAGGTTAATGTGTGTGACTTGAGAACATTATCCTAAAATCGAGACAGAAATTATGAGATAAGGAGGCAACAGGAAAGTACAAAGTGAGAGTGGCATAGGGGAATGCTGTTATGCCGAAGCATTCATAAGGTAACGCCTTAGACTTTCTGTACTTGATTAGAACTTAGTAGTGAACAGTGCTAAAAGAACCTATATTTTGTTTCCAGGAACCTGCATAAAATCTGTATTCCAGTGCTTTTACCATCAAATCTTAGTTTTAAGCAAGAAAAGGAAACACAAAAAGTTACACCAATCTTCTTTATTTTTTTATGAGCATATTGTAAATAAATGTATTTTTTGAAAGAAGTCCCACTAATCAAGGAAAATTTCACGAAAAATCTTTTCAATTTAGTGATAGGAAAGCTTTAACTAATTCCTATGCAGTAACAAGAAAATACTCCCTTCTTGTCTATGTTTAAAGCAGCTATCAAACTCCAAACAACGAAAAATTCTTCTACTAACTCTCCCCACGATATTAATCCACAGAGTCATTACTTATCAGCACTGTTGATGTTCAGGCTAGTATAATACCTAGGATGACGGAATAAAGCCAAGTGAAAAAAGGTCCTAGTGTTGCAGGATGCAACTTGTTCAAACAGGTTTATTTTCAGTGGATCCATAACAGATAATGAAGCACATTCAAGTTAAGTAACTACGAACTCTATCATCAACGACTCAAGGCGCTATAAGAGAATTCATCTGCTTAATTAATGGGTTGGCTAATTAGAACCCATTTCTACCCCATTGTCTTTTTTAGTTGGAATTTCAAACTAAGTAACACATCAGCCACAGTGCATAATCAAATAAGCAAATAACTAAAGGGATCAAATTTACAGACTCAATCTATCTATGAAGTTGTCTTTCAGTTGGAAGTCATATGTAATTCGAATTTCTTGAAAATTTTGAGAGACGAGAAGCATACAAGCACACAGTATACCCATAGAGGAAGAAGCACAGGAACATAAAAATTCCCAAGGAAAAGAAGAATCATAAGTATTAATGAAAGTATTATATTATAAAGTACCGGTAGTTTTTGTGTGTTGAGAGATTTAACAGAGTAAAAATTATTGAAGTGAAGATATTGTACACAGACCTGCTGATCATGAGAAAATCTGCAGCTATCTCCACGGTTACATTCCCCTTTCTGAAAAGCACGGCATACGCCTCTTTCCTCCCTCTTCCTCTGCTTAGTCTCCTCATCCTCTTCTTCTAGCTTTTTGTATTTGCTCACATGATCAACCCTAATTATTCGGCCCAAAATTTGAGCACCATTTAAATTGTCTGCATTCACCCAAGGAAACAACAAAACAGACAGGAAAATTTATTTGCTATGGTAGTAACTTGAAGAACAAAATTGGCTTTGGGGCAAAGAAACAAACCGACTGCGAGATTTGTGCTTCTTTGGTCCTCATAAGCAATAAAGCAAAATCCTTTGGATTTCCCAGTGCCTTTGTCTCTGATTAAGTTAACATCAACAATCTCTCCATACCTATAATA